TGGTATAAGATACATCGAAATCCAATCACTAGATCAATTTCCGAAATTAAAAAATATTAAATGGTTTTTAAGTAATAACTCTGTCAATATTGATCACAGAGAGATAAGCATACTACCATTCGATTCGTCTCGATGAGGCGATTCTAACGAGCTATAAATCATTTTTTTACTTTGCTATGTTTACGGCCAGACCACCCATTGCCTCTTATGAGACTAATTTCGGGTCTGTGTAAGGTTGCTTGTCTAAACCTCTTCAAAATCCTACGATTAGTTTTGTCAAAATTTTACTATAGATTTATTATAGTTTTGCCAGAGTTTCAGCAGTTTCGGCATTTATAATAAGTTTTGGCAGTTTCGCCTTTCTCCAAAGTTTCGCCAGTTTTTTAATATAACTTTAATATAGTTTCGGCAGAATTTCGCTTTTCGGCGAAACGCCATCTTGCCTAAACCCCTAGGTTTCAGCAAGCAACCTTAGGTCTGTGTCCTATCATCTTCAATGGGCAACCATTATACCGAGTACTTAATTCCTTAGGTAACAGCACCACTATAGAAGACATCCCCCATCGGGCCTTTATAGGCTGATCTGAAGCTAGGTACACGCCGCCTACTCATCCTTAATCCATTGCATGATACTGGTACTCAATTTATTTTACGACCTTTAGAGAGTACTTACTTTCATAGAGGACTTTCGACAGGTAACATCAACCATCTAGTACCCTTCCATACCACCATTTTAGGTACAAGGTCTCATTCAAAGACCACTACAGCCCACAATTACCTAGCACTGATAGTACAGTTGTTTACCCCAAGTGGTATACTTTGTAGTAGTGGTCTGATCCGGATATCTGTTTATCCGTAAACAGTTAATCCGTGAGTCATGTTACGGATACGGATGACTATCCGTGAAAAATTGAACAAATCTGGATAAATCTGTAACAGATAACGGATAATATAAATAAAAAAAATTTTTCAAACAAATTTAATAAAAATCTTATTTACTTGCTTTAAATTTCTTTAATGTCACTTTATTTATTTATAGCTTTGTATATTATACTTTAATTACATATTAATTATTATTTATTAACTATTCTGAAGTATTACTTAATGGAAAAACTCCCCCAACTAAGCGCCAATTTTTTTTACAAAAAACCAAATTTTCCAATGTATTTGGCAATAATTGTGTTCTTTTTATGGTCACAACATTACCAGCTTCGCTAAAAAGTCTCTCACTTGGAGTAGAAGTGGCAGGAATCGCCAAGTACTTTCTTGCTAACTTTGATAATATTGGAAACCGGGCTTTATTAGTTTTCCACCATAATAAAGGGCAATCATCAAGGT